ACCAGAACACAGACTGATGGAAAAAACACCAACAATAATCAGTTATTCTGTCTGTGTTTGTATAAAGCAATGGTTTGTCTGAGTGAGTGTGAGTGAGTGTGTCACTGTGTGTGCTGTGTGTGGTACCTTGGGCAGTCTCTCTGGGTCTCCGGGGTGGCGAGGAATGACCTTCTGTAACCTCTGGAAGCCGTAATCTATGGTGGGTTCATTTAAAGCTGAGAAGAAAAAGTAAAACGGATCAGCTGTTAGAAAACTATTTTCACAACACGAGACGTTAGAAATCCTCAGTCTTCTCTAGAGCGGATCACCGTGACGTCACCGTGACATCACCTCCACGTCGACATTTGTTGATTTGAAAATCTGCACATTACTTTATTTTTGTGGTCACTTTCAGCCGTTACGTAGTGAAACACGCTGGTCCGGCCTGTCGGACCTGTTATCTTATAAACCACATCGACCTTACAGTAGCGCCTCACCATCGGTACAACTTGTAGAGAACTCAGGCTTTCGTCCTCTGTGGCCCAACAGAAAGACTGACGCTAGTGAACAGTGGACAAGTTAAGGTTCACTACTCTACAGTGCACTAGTTTACGGTTCGCTAGTCTACTGTGCACTAGTCTACTGTAGAGTAGTTCACGGTTCACTAGTCTACTCTCCACTAGTTCACTGTGGACTAGTTCACTGTGGAGAAGTTTACGGTTCACTAGTCTACTGTGCACTAGTCTACGGTACACTAGTTTACTGTGGACTAGTTCACTGTGGACTCGTTCACTGTGGAGAAGTTTACGGTTCACTAGTCTACTGTGCACTAGTCTACTGTACACTAGTTTACTGTGGACTAGTTCACTGTGGAGAAGTTTACGGTTCACTAGTCTACTGTAGAGTAGTTCACGGTTCACTAGTCTACTGTACACTAGTTTACTGTGGACAAGTTCACTGTGGAGAAGTTTACGGTTCACTAGTCTACTGTGCACTAGTCTACGGTACACTAGTTTACTGTGGACTAGTTCACTGTGGACTCGTTCACTGTGGAGAAGTTTACGGTTCACTAGTCTACTGTGCACTAGTCTACTGTACACTAGTTTACTGTGGACTAGTTCACTGTGGAGAAGTTTACGGTTCACTAGTCTACTGTAGAGTAGTTCACGGTTCACTAGTCTACTGTACACTAGTTTACTGTGGACAAGTTCACTGTGGAGAAGTTTACGGTTCACTAGTCTACTGTACACTAGTCTACTGTACACTAGTTTACTGTGGACTAGTTCACTGTGGACTAGTTTACGGTTCACTAGTCTACTGTACACTAGTCTACTGTACACTAGTTTACTGTGGACTAGTTCACTGTGGAGAAGTTTACGGTTCACTAGTCTACTGTAGAGTAGTTCACGGTTCACTAGTCTACTGTACACTAGTTTACTGTGGACAAGTTCACTGTGGAGAAGTTTACGGTTCACTAGTCTACTGTACACTAGTCTACTGTACACTAGTTTACTGTGGACTAGTTCACTGTAGACTAGTTTACGGTTCACTAGTCTACTGTACACTAGTCTACTGTACACTAGTTTATTGTGGACTAGTTCACTGTGGACTAGTTTACGGTTCACTAGTCTACTGTACACTAGTCTACTGTACACTAGTTTACTGTGGACTAGTTCACTGTGCACTACTCGATGGTGTGGACTAGTTCATTGTACACTAGTCTACTGTACACTAGTTTACTGTGGACTAGTTCACTGTGGACTAGTTTACGGTTCACTAGTGTACTGTGCACTAGTCTACTGTTCACTAGTTTACTGTGGACTAGTTCACTGTGCACTACTCGACGGTGCACTGGTCGACTGTGCACTGCTCTACGGTGCACTAGTTCACTGTGGACTAGTTCATTGTTCATTAGTTCACTGTACACTAGTTTACGGTTCACTAGTCTACTGTGCACTAGTCTACTGTACACTAGTTTACTGTGGACTAGTTCACTGTGGAGAAGTTTACGGTTCACTAGTCTACTGTAGAGTAGTTCACGGTTCACTAGTCTACTGTACACTAGTTTACTGTGGACAAGTTCACTGTGGAGAAGTTTACGGTTCACTAGTCTACTGTACACTAGTCTACTGTACACTGGTTTACTGTGGACTAGTTCACTGTGGACTAGTTTACGGTTCACTAGTCTACTGTACACTAGTCTACTGTACACTAGTTTACTGTGGACTAGTTCACTGTGGAGAAGTTTACGGTTCACTAGTCTACTGTAGAGTAGTTCACGGTTCACTAGTCTACTGTACACTAGTTTACTGTGGACAAGTTCACTGTGGAGAAGTTTACGGTTCACTAGTCTACTGTACACTAGTCTACTGTACACTAGTTTACTGTGGACTAGTTCACTGTGGACTAGTTTACGGTTCACTAGTCTACTGTACACTAGTCTACTGTACACTAGTTTATTGTGGACTAGTTCACTGTGGACTAGTTTACGGTTCACTAGTCTACTGTACACTAGTCTACTGTTCACTAGTTTACTGTGGACAAGTTCACTGTGGAGAAGTTTACGGTTCACTAGTCTACTGTGCACTAGTCTACTGTTCACTAGTTTACTGTGGACTAGTTCACTGTGGACTAGTTTACGGTTCACTAGTCTACTGTACACTAGTCTACTGTACACTAGTTTACTGTGGACTAGTTCACTGTGGACTAGTTTACGGTTCACTAGTGTACTGTGCACTAGTCTACTGTTCACTAGTTTACTGTGGACTAGTTCACTGTGCACTACTCGACGGTGCACTGGTCGACTGTGCACTGCTCTACGGTGCACTAGTTCACTGTGGACTAGTTCATTGTTCATTAGTTCACTGTACACTAGTTTACGGTGCACTAGTTCACTCTGGACTATTTTTCTATGGACCAGTTCACTGTGGACTAGTTTACTGTGCACTAACAAACAATCATTCAGGTCATCAACGAAGACACATAACAGCTGTTGCCACCAACAGAAACTCTGACTGGCAGGTTGAACATCATCAGAGTCACGTTGCTTTGCAACAACAACAGTCCCTCTGACTCGTCCTGCTGACTAAACAGAAACAGAAACACCAATCAGAAACAGTTTGTGTGGTGAGCCAGCACTCCGATCCGGGATTGGTCCGACACACGTCTTCTTCTCTCCTCTAACATCATTTACAGTTTAAACTGGTAGGGAGGTGATAAATCAGAGCGTCAGTGAACGCAGCCGAGCACAGAGAGGAGTGTGTGTGTGAAGTGCATGAATCATAATCCCGTCTTGGTTCAGCTGCCTTTAACAAGCTTTAGACTGGCTCTCCTATACATCACAACAGTGTGTGTGTGTGTGTGTGTGTTCAGTCCTTGAAGGCTCACAGGGCGTAACAAGCAGCAGTTATAAGAGTGTGTGAGCTCTCCAGATGTCTGTGTTATCTGCAGCCTGCTGTGTGTGTGTGACCTTGTGTTGTTGACTGTGAGACAGTTTATTATCACCTGTGTGTCTGTTTAACCTGCCGTCTGTCTGTCTTTTCTCCTGTTAACGTTATTTATGGATTAAAGTTAAATCGCTCTTCAGTGTCTTTGATTTTGTCCTTAAAGGTTTATTCCATAGGCTTTTTGTGTCGTTTACTTTGGGCCCCATGAAGGCATTGATGTTTGAAAAACCCTGCTTACATCTTTCACTAACTGATAGACTCCATGTTTGGAGTCAAATTGACATTTTCTACATTTGTATCATGTTTCTAAAATTCATCCTGAAAGGTTTGATGTTTTATTCTGGAAACTGTTCATATCAGACATATTAATGACAGCAGCATTATATGCGTGTTATTGATCGGTAAATCTTCTTCACTATAGATTTGGAAGTTGACATATTTGTAACTCCTGTATCTAATAGATATTGTTATAAGTCTCAGCTGTCAGTAACTTCCTCTGAAGTCTTTATCTGATTGGTCGATTGGCTGTGATGAAGGACTCTAATCAGACCGCCAGGCTGTGTAACGATCCAATCAATAAGCTGACTGTGCATCGCCGTGGTACCCAGCATGGGTTTAAGTGATTGTTAGTTTGTCAGTTTACATCAGGAGTTAATGGAGCAGCTGAGTCGGCAGTGACTCCAGTTACATACTTTATCATCTCTGGACCATTTCAGATAAATTTTCTTTTGGATTGTAGATCAGTTCTGCAGAACGCAGCTGTGGTGCAGCGTTTTTAACACAACTAAATTCACAACAGCAAAAGTTGAGGTCAGTGGGAACTGTAGTATTCTCTGTCTCTATTTATATTTGTAAGTAGAACCTAAACTGTCATTTTAATTTATCTAAAGCTTCTTTGGGTGTTTTTAACAGTTTTATTGAAGAACATTTTATGATTTTATTTGCATGCATTCAAAATTTGACATATAGTACAAAAGTATATGCATGTAAAATACCAACAGTAAAAGTACTCATTCTGCTGAAAGGACCATTTCATAATAATATATTATAATTTATGTTGATGAATTAATGTGTGTTCATCACTTTAATGCTGCAGCTTGTGAACTTCCTCCTGAGAATCAATAAAGTTTTATCTTTAACCTGTAATAATTCATCATAATTTATTCATTGATTATATTCTGTATTAGTAATCCGAATCTGCAAAGTATCAAATACATGTAGTACAGCACAAAAAGAAAGTAGCATAAAAAGGAAATAAAATAAAGTACAAATACCACGAAATAGTACTTTAGTAAAGTGGTTCAGTACATGAGTGAATCAGTGAAATGTTTTACTGAAACAGGCCTTATTTTGTTTCATTCAAAACAGAGGAGGCAGATCAAACTCAGGAAACTGCTTACAGCGGCGTGAGTGTGTGGTGAGGAAATCAAATCTGAGGGCGGGTCCGACAGGAATGATCAATACTTTGCAATCAATGCTCATTGAAATTTCCTGTCTGTCTGCATGAGAACAACACATTTTATCTGCCAGCAGGTGCACAACGGGTGCACAGCGGGTGTATAACAGGTACACAACGGGTACGCAGCAGGTACACAACAGGTACGCAGCAGGTACACAACGGGTACGCAGCAGGTACACAACGGGTACGCAGCAGGTACGCAGCGGGTACACAACGGGTACGCAGCAGGTACACAACGGGTACACAGCACGTACACAACAAGTACACAACAGGTACGCAGCAGGTACACAACGGGTACGCAGCAGGTACACAATGGGTACGCAGCAGGTACGCAGCAGGTACACAGCAGGTACGCAGCAGGTACACAACGGGTACGCAGCAGGTACGCAGCAGGTACACAGCAGGTACGCAGCAGGTACACAACGGGTACGCAGCAGGTACACAACGGGTACGCAGCAGGTACGCAGCGGGTACACAACGGGTACGCAGCAGGTACACAACGGGTACGCAGCAGGTACACAACGGGTACACAGCAGGTACACAACAGGTACACAACTTGTACACAACAGGTATACAGAAGGTACACAACGGGTACACAGCAGGTACACAACAGGTACACAACTTGTACACAACAGGTATACAGAAGGTACACAACGGGTACACAGCAGGTACACAACAGGGACACAACTTGTACACAACAGGTATACAGAAGGTACACAACGGGTATACAGCAGGTACACAACAGGTACACAACTTGTACACAACAGGTATACAGAAGGTACACAACGGGTACACAGCAGGTACACAACAGGGACACAACTTGTACACAACAGGTATACAGAAGGTACACAACGGGTACACAGCAGGTACACAACAGGGACACAACTTGTACACAACAGGTATACAGAAGGTACACAACGGGTATACAGCAGGTACACAACGATAAAGTGGTGAGCGTACGTATTTGACTGATCACTGTGTTTTTTCTCATCTTTCTGAAACGTACAAAGAAACCTTCCCAGTACGATGCGTTCAAGTGCAGCCGTAGAGATCAGTGCTGATTAGACTAGACTCTAAGCAATGGAAAGTTATTTTACTAAACGGTTGCGCTTAATTACAATCGTGAGGTACTTTTACTTGACTTGATTATTTGGTTTTGTACTTCTACATCTCAGAGGGAACTCTGTACTCTGTACTGCCTTTAGTTTAGGCATTGTTAATGATTTGTACACAGGTAATAATAATAAAGAAAGTCTACTTTTACTATTGGTACATTAAGTACATGTTGCTGATTATAAATTCTTTGAATGCAGGACTTGCTGGGGTTCCAACGTACCCCCACAGTCCTGGCTGTCCTGGTTTGGGTTTTGGTGCTGTGCTGGTTTAGACTCCTGCTCCATGCTCTCTGAAAGTCGTCCTCGTGTGCTGTCTCGAGCTTTATGTCCTGCTTTACTTTGAAGTTGTCGCTGTCTGTAGTTCATTGTGTGTTTCACCTGTTTACTCCCTCTCTGCTGCATCCTGGTCGGTTCCTGCTTGTTTCTGTGATTCCTGGATTTCCCTGCTGGACATTTGTTTTCTTGGATTTATACCTGTGTAAAGTTCACATGCGCCATGGACCAAACCCTGTTTCACACAGTCCGACTCTGTCACCTTCCACATGTCTTCACTAGAACTAAAAGCTAGTTAGCACTATTAATTGTCATTTTAGTATCGTTATAGTATTTCTTATCCAGAGCATCGTACATGTTTGGGTGTGTTCAGGTGTTACTACTGGCTCTGGTTGGTGCAGGTGCATCCTGTAAATGCTAACCGTGTTAGCGTATCAGTCCTAATTTATTTCACCTTCCTCTCTGTATAGAAGTAGCACCGCAACGCATGCTGGGAGCGGTGTGGTGCAGGGTGGAGGTGTGCAGGACGAGCCACTCTGAACCACTGAGGTGTGAAAGCATCTGCTGGATGAAACTGAAGGTCATGTGACCGATGACATCACGTACGAGTGTGTGTGTGTGTGTGTGTGTGTGTGTGTGCGCTTCACACCGCTCAAAGGTCATTAAGGCGGCGGTCCACCGGCGGGATTGAGGGTTAATGGGATTTAAATGTGTGTAATTACTCCGACGGCGGTGTGAAATGAAACACCTCCACTGATGTGCTCCACAAAGAAAGAATAGAGAAAGAAGGAGGGAGGCAAAGATGAAGAGGGAAAGTGTCAGGACGGAAGGAAGAAGTGTCAACAAACCGAGAAAGACGGGTTCATTTAGACGCGAGTCATTAACGGCAGGAGTAGTACTCAGTAGGAGTAGTTTAGAGTATTCAGTAGGAGTATAGTGTAGTTTCGAGTCCCGCTAATGAACTTATCCTTCTCTCTTCTCATTGGCTGAAAAGGCTGATGGAGCGTGGGGATTGGCTGCTGGGATTTACCTGTGTAGACGAACCGACCCGGCGCTCCTTTACAGAACTGTTTGGACTTGTAGGACAGCGTGACCTCGACGACCCCGGGGATGTGACGGGGAGGGGTCTGGACCCGGATGGCATGAGGGGTGATCAGCTGGAGAGACAGACAGGGGGACAGGTCTCAGGTGGACGTGGTCTCTACAGAGAGAAGCACACTGGAAGGCTGTACCGATTACTGATCAGCTGCGTTACCTCGCTCCACACCAGCATGGTGCCGAAGACCACCTGCAGACCGTCAAAGAAGTTGTCTCCGATCAGGATGACGGTCGCTCCCCCCGTCGTCCAGCCCTCACTGGGACTGATGGCTTTAATACAGGGAGTGGCTGCTGGACGAGAGACACCGAGAGACACAGAGAGACACAGAGAGAGAGATGGGGAGGGAGGGAGAGAGAGAAACTTTTTTGTTATTCAGACTTAAGCTAGGATTATACTTTCTGTGTCCACGAGTACGCGAGGGCCCGCTTAACGGAACAATTGTCATCAGACAGGTAGGCTCTGTGCGTGTTTTCTGACAGGTAAGCCGATGACACCACCAACTGATCTACTGCGCATGTGTGGAAGGAGTCCGCCAAGCTTGCAGTCAGAGTTTTACCAGCTGCTGATTGGTTCTGACATAAAAACCTGCGTACCTTCAGATGGGTCCAGTCTCCGGGCTCGGCGGCCATGTTTGGAGTTGTTGTGTACGAACATGTTGTCGGAGACGGCAAGGACATGGCCGTCTACGTTTACTGTTGTAGAAACCACCACCTGCCAACACACAGAAAACTTTATTTATAACCGACGGACAGAACTTTATTATAACTGACAAACAGAACTTTATTTATAACAGCTAGGAGTATTACCATTACTGTGTCACAGTCTAAACTTTGCGCGACCAGCAAAAAGCTTTCAACCACCAGCAATTCTACATGTATTTACTGAAGCATGTGCTGAAGCAGCACAGCGACATGAAACTTATAGAAAGAAACTGACCAGCAGGAGCTACTGCCAGAGATGATGCACCCGTCGGGAGAGAGTGGCGTTAAGCAACATTTGATGTTCTGTAGAAACTCTGAATACTGCTCAGATAAATGTGCTTTATTTCTTTATTTCAGCCAGTGGGGCTAAGAAACATGTTCTGTAAAAACTAACTGCTTGCTGCTGTTATGAAGATGCTGTTGGTTAAAAAGAGAAACTTGCTTTGTTTTTTCTTTAGTTAAATCATGAATATCTGCTCTGAGACTCTGCCGTGTTTCAGTGTGCTGACTCCTCAGGTTCATTGTTGTTCCAGTGGATTCATTTCTGCAATCAGCTGATGATCAGGCCGTCCGGGGGTAGTGAAAGTAATATAGTAACTGTTCCCAGCATGCATTGTGTAAGACAAAGTGCACGTTATCCTCTCAGTAACACAAATGTTTTCTGTAAAATTCAACATGTAGATCTTTTGTTTGTACAGATGGGGAGACGGAACTTCCAACTAGAACCATGAGAACTGGATCCGCACAGCTCTGAGGAGCAACTGTACTGAAATGTCAAATGTCAGAAGTATTTTCTAAATCAGATCACAAATTTTGGCAAATTTAAAATCGCTGCTATGAACTGGACTGCAGTGATTTCAGGTGACCTGCTCTACAAACGAAACGCTCCTAAAACCAGCCGATAAACGAATAGAATCCAGATACAAAAAACATCTTGTGAAAAATTGTAATTGATGAAAATTCTTCTATATCATAAATAAAGGAGAAACATTTAAATGATGATTCATCAATCTGAGAAAACGTGTGGCCCCGCCCCCTGTGTGACGTCACAGCCCCTCTCCGCCGTGGCCATTCATCATCCCCGGCCGGTGGCCGTGGCGCCGGTGCAGAAGGTCGCACAGAGAGAGAGGAGAGGTGTCATCTCTGTCGCCACGGTGACAAACCAGCACATCCTTCATCCTGCTGTCGCTACGACTACCGCTGACAAGTCCGGAGGCTTCACCTGACTTCACCTGTCTCTCCCTCTGATTGGTCTCTCACCTGACCTCACCTCTCTTTCTCTCTCTCTCCACATGCTGTCTGCAGCTTGCTCGCCCCGTCTCCCTCCTCCTGCTCTCCAGGTTTAACTGGACTTAACATCCTGTCAGCTCGCCCAGTGCAGCGTGGAGAGGGGGGGGGGGGTAGGCTGTGTTACTGTGTGACAGCAGACATATGGAAACTGTGAGGCTGGACAGCCTCCTTCAGCAACATGTCTTCTCTGTTTTCCTCTCACATCTTTAAATCCTCCTCTCTTTATCTCCACATTGTTCTCCTCTCCTTTATTTCCCTCTCCCTCCTCTGGTTTCCTTCTCTGCTCCACTCTCTTGATTCCTCCTCTCCTCTCTTGTTTCCTCCTCTGCTGTCCTCTCTGGTTTCCTCCTCTCCTCTCTTGTTTCCTCCTCTGCTGTCCTCTCTGGTTTCCTTCTTTCCTCTTGTTGCCACCTCTGCTCTCCTCTCTTGTTTCCTCCTCTCCTCTCTTGTTTCCTCCTCTGCTCTCCTCTCTTGATTCCTCCTCTCCTCTCCTCTCTTGTTTCCTCCTCTGCTCTCCTCTCTTGTTTCCTCCTCTCCTCTCCGTAATAGGATAACACGGCTGATCAATAGTTAGAGGATCAATCACAGACTGGTTGTCGCTGATGGGCTGTCGGCTGCTCCTTGCTGTTAATTGGTTGATGAATGAAGCTCCTCGAGACGAGAGGAGCGCTCGCTGTGGAGGGTGCGTTTGATTTGAAGTGTCTTTTATCTCAGCAGTCAGTTAATCTCTCCCAGTATTATTTAGACACTCGGGGTTAATGGCTTCACAGTGAGACAGGAAACCCAGAGTCAGCCCCGCCACATGATGACCTGCCATGTAATCACGAACGAGATGAACGCCGAGCTTCCTGTGATCAGCCTCTACTGACAAACATTCAATTACATAATTTTATAAGAAGTGAATGACACAGCAGCTGCGGCAGCAGAACACAGCGTGGCGTTCTTCATTCTTATTATCTGAAAGACTCGCCATCCTCTCTCTTTGTTTCACTCTGAACACGAACGCCAGGTAACATTTTGTTTTCCTGGAAAGATGTAAACTGAACTGACTTTGGTATGAATTTAATCTGTCGGCTTTAAATGACAGTAACTAAACTAAAGGGGGAAAGTAACTAAAGTTCATGCTGTGGTGCTGGTTGGAGTCATCAATAAAGTTAATTGTGTTGACGTTTAAACTGAAGTGAATATGAATTTGTTATTCTTAATTTTATTCTTGGTTAAATTCTGATTTTGTTTTTTCCTGATTGAAGAGCCACGTCTCTGTTTTCCAGGAAACTCAGATGCTATCCTATTTATTATAAATAAATACTAAATAATATAAAATAAAACAATAAATGTTATATAAGATTTATGTAGGAATATAAATGAGTGTTTATTAGAAACGCTTAAAGCAGCTCGAACACAGAACAGTTGACATGTATATGAAAATAAAGCAGGACAGTGAGACGGACAGGCAGATAGACGGTTCCCTAACGACCTCTCATATTATATCTGCAAAGCAATAAGCCTCGGGCCGCCCTGCTGAAATGCATTATGGGTGCAGCAGGTCATCCAAAGCCATGTCCTGCCCTTTAGGGAAATGAATTCATCTTTTTAGATGCGTGTGTATGTGTGTGTTACCTGGAACCTCCTCATGTCTCGTGGGTTTCCAGCGTTTTTCAGACAATTCTGGTTACACTTCAGGAAGAACTTCAGGAAGAACCTGCACACACACAAAGACAGGACACGGTAATGATCACTTACTCTGCATCTATCACACGGGTCAGTAACAGCACCGATGTGAACTTCCCAAAGTGACTTGACTTGACAAAAGGAAAATATCGATTATCTGATAATATGATCTCGGTACTGGCAGCAGGACTGACTGAGGGATCATGAATAAATGAGGTTCCTCAGGGTTCTGTTCTAGATCTCATTCTGTTGTTTCATGCGTCTATATGCAGATGACACAACGTTCTACACATGAGAACACTGAGTTCTTTCTGCTGTCATTCCCTAATGCTCGCCGCACACTAGATGATAACTGGGACGATTTTAGGGACCGATTCGTCCTCGTAACAATCACGGGGGCCTTCCAAAGCAGAGACTGGTCGGAACAGATTATCAGCCTGAATGATCCCGTAGTGTGAGGCGTTTACAGACAGAATCTGAAGGTCGCTGACTGGATCAGAGGCTCCCTGATCAGAAACCTGCAGCCAATGAGAGCCAGAAACATCACCAGCGTGTCTAAAATTCCCTCCCTCAGCCTCGAGCTCATCCTTCACACTAAACCCGCTGCTCTGAGTGAATAATGTGTCAGACTCCCAGACAGAAACTAAAGCCAGACTAGCAGAAGGTAAACACAGACGACACCGTGTTGGCTCTAGCCCAAACCTGATCTCACCACCAGGTCCATCTGTTCTGGAGCTTTCTACTGAATCACACCATCTCCTCTCCAGTTTGAGTTTAATACTGTTCTGTTCACGTTTTAGAACATTATGGAACAAATATTTACATGGCTGTGGCTCAGGAGGCCGAGCGGGTCGTCCGGGATGGTCAGCCAGCACTCGATGTGTGAATGAGCAGCTCAAAGGTGGCTTTTAAAGAAGGAGAGACTGTGTGTGTGTTGGTTAACATGTATGTGTCAGTACACGGGATGTAATCTGAGCACTCGTTCTCCCAGGAGAGAGGGAGGACGAAGGAGACAAAGGACAGAGTACGCCCCCCCCCACCCCCAGATTGCAGACCTACATGTGTGGTTCTGTTGTTGCAGCAGAACCTCATTTGATTTGTCTAGACTTTTTTAAGAAGTGTGTGTGCGTGTGTGTGGGTGTGTCGGGGGGGGGGGGGGAGCTGAAGCCGTGCGACACGTACACTACCACAACATCACAGTGGTTTCCATGGTAACGGGTTGTAAACACACACAGAAGGACAAAAAGGAAATCTCTCTCAGGCGATGCGTTCGGTCTCTGAGGGTCTCGGCAGTATTGATTACCCAGCATTCCTTGCTGCTCGTCTCTAATGAGCCCGCAGAAGGACAAAGTGCTGACACCAAACACACACATCCAGTCTGAACAGATGCTCTGTAAACAAATCAGCCTTTTCTGGAAGATCAGCATGTTAGAGATATTCAAATAAAATCCATAACACAAACATTCTAACTGAACTTGTTAGTTGTGATGATGTTTCAGGTGTTTCCTGTCCAGGTGCTGCCGTCGTGCTCAGGTTCACTTCAGGTTCAGACCTTCAGCTCAGCTTAGTTTCATTTTGTCCTCATAAAGCAAATGTGGCATCCTCATCATTATAGTTATTAGTGTTGTATTTAGTGTTCTTCTTCTGCGTGCTGGCGGCAGCGGCGGCGGCAGCAGGAAGCTGCTCTCTGAGTGGATGAAGTCTCTCTGATGTTTGTCTGAAGATAGCCTCAGTGTGAGCGCGTGACCTCTGACCGCCGATCAGCTGATCTCTCTCACACGGAGTCTTATCGCCATGGTAACCACCCAGCATCAGCAGTCTCAGCTGATCGTCACGTTATCTTCAGACGCACAGACTCAACTTATCTCCATGCTCCTCCTCACCTCCTTCCTCCTTATCTCCTCCTCTCCTCCCTTGTTTCCTCCCTCCTTCCATCTCGTCCTATCTCTTTTCTCCTCTGAATGGAGAGCGAGCAAGCGAGCGAGCGAGGTCGTAAATCTACACGCAGGACAGATTAAGCTTTCAATTTGTTATGTGATAAGCAGGGAAGACCCCGACACACACACACACACACACACACACTCTATTACTGCTCATATTTACGAGCAGGAAATTAGGACGCATCGCAAATTTATCTCCAGGAAGAATGGAAGTCACACACACTGTCACTGAAAACACACACACTCAGAAACACACACACTGCGCTGGAGTTAATGTGCTCTATGAGGTAGAAAATGTAGTCGCAGTGTGAGGAGGAATTATACTGACAGTAATGCACTGACACAGGGAGAGTGTGTGTGCTGAGGAATGGTTTATGTTTAGGGAGGATGAAGGGGAGCAGCAGCCATATTGAAATGAATCCCCAGTTAACAGTAATGTTATGGATCGTGTGCAGAACAGAAGAATTCAGCCAGTAAAATCACCCCAGGTACATCTCTGCAGACCTGTGTGTGAACCTGAACCTGATTCTACGCTGAATATTAGAACCGGGTCTGAACCAGGTCTGAACCTCCCTACAGCCCGGTCCTGTACAGCGACGTGTTACCTGGTTTACAGCAGAAACTCACAAAGACTCTGATGTTTCAAAGACAACGTGAACAAACGATCTCCGTTAAAGCAAAACAACTGTGTTTAATATGTAAATGAGTTCTGCTGCTAACGAACACCTCTGAAGAGCAGTCAGAGCGTCGGAGATGATTAATGACAACTGCCAATTAGCAGCAGTGAGTTCACTGATTAACCAGCTGACGGAGGAGGAAAACCTGAAAGAAGGAGAGGCCAATCAGACACACTCCAGAATCAATAACAATACATTACTCATAAATGTTCAATTCAGAACATGTCCAGGGGCCTCAGGGGCCCCACGTCCCAAACCCTGCCTCACCTCAGACCACAGAAACATGTTTCTGTTCCTTCCAGGGAAGGAACCCGGTCCTATCTTAGAACCGGACTTCAGCTGTTATAGAAGCGTCCTGACTGACTAAGTGAGGAACCCCAAGTCAGGAAATCTAAGTCAGGAACCACAAGTCAGGAAATCTAAGTCAGGAACCACAAGTCAGGAAATCTAAGTCAGGAGCCATAAGTTCAGGAAATCTAAATCAGGAACCATAAGCCAGGAACCCCAAGTCAGGAAATCTAAGTCAAGAACCCTAAGTCAAGAACCACAAGTCAAGAACCACAAGTCTGTAACACTAAGCCAGGAACCCCAAGTCAGAAAATCTAAGCCAGGAACCACAAGCCAGGAAATCTAAGTCAACCCTAAGTCAGGAACCCCAAGTCAAGAACCACAAGTCTGTAACACTAAGCCAGGAACCCCAAGTCAGGAAATCTAAGTCAGAAACCCTAAGTCAGGAATCCCAAGTCAAGAACCACAAGTCTGTAACACTAAGCCAGGAACCCCAAGTCAGGAAATCTAAGTAAGGAACCACAAGTCAGGAACCCCAAGTCAAGAACCCCAAGTCTGTAACACTAAGCCAGGAACCCCAAGTCAGAAAATCTAAGTCAGGAACCCTAAGTCAGGAATCCCAAGTCAGGAAATCTAAGTCAGGAACCACAAGTCAGGAAACCTAAGTGAGGAACCCTAAGCCAGCAACCACAAGTCAGGAAACCTAAGTCAGGAAACCTAAGTCAGGAACCATAAGCCAGAAAGCACAAGCCAGGAACCCCAAGTCAGGAATCCCAGTTCAGGAACCCTAAGTTAGGGATCTTGCCAGGAACCCAAAACAAGATCTGATGAGATTCACTTGATGGCCAAAATGTTAAACATCTTGGTCCAGTCCTGGACTCCAGGTGAGCTGCTGTGAGGATATTTTGAGGAGATGCTCACAGTGACTTTACCTAAAAAACCTCAGTGGCCTCGGTGTCAACAGATTTTAGAAATAGTGTACAAAACTAATGTTGAGAGTTTTAACTTTCCACCGTCCTGCCTGATCTAAAGATGCAGATCTGAGAATAAACTTGTCAGAATAGTTGGCAAAGCCCAAAAGGCCTTGGCTTACAGAACAGACGAGGAAGAAAGCGAGGAGTGTCTCTTTTATCTTTCTATGCTGGCATAATGCAGGTCCTAACCTGATCCTGATTTTAACCTGAACCTTAAAACCTGGTCTGAAGAGCCCTTTGGGGTCATGAGACCATAATGTCCTCACTATGATGGCTGGTCCTCACAGACCGCAATACGAGAACACACACACTGAGAGGCTAAACGCACTTTAAGACGTTAAAGTCCAACATTTCTGTTTGATAATGAATCATGAGAGAAACCTTAGACCCTCATCCTGTCTGTCCTGCTCCATTAGTCCGCTCCGTGTTCACAGCCGGCTGAGCTGCATGTTTAATTCATGCACACACACACACAGCGTTGATCGGTTCATGATCAGCATGATGAGTCCTTTCGTCTCGACCTTTGACCTCTGCTGTAATTGGAGACCAGAGAAGCTGTCAGCCAGCAGTGTCTCCTCAGCATGCTTCTCTCCGTGTTCTTAGCATGTTCATAGTGATAATCCTACATGAAATTACTGAACTTCATCACCATGGACAGAGTCTCAGGCTGTTTCTCAGAACCGAGTTCGCCAAGTTCGGACTTCTGTACTTTAAAGCTCGGACTTGGCAAGTTCAGCTCTGGAGTACAAACTCCCAGGAACGGGAGCACGCAGTCAGTCATTCAGCAATTGGAACAGCAGCGGACTTGATAACGGCCTGACCCGTTAGTGGGCGGGACCTCACATCTCCGAAAACGTCGCAGCAATTTTTAAAATCAGCTCTCTCTTGAGAAATCAACCACATATTTGGAGTTTAAACAACTAAATTCCCGCATAAAAAATTCATTAAACCACGGACAGAGTCTCAGTCTACCTGCTGGCCTTCAGATGTACAGCTAAGATCCCTAAAACATGTTGTCAGTCTTCTGGAGGTCCAACAGTTGTTTCATCATCGGATGCATTTACTTTAAATATGACTCTGATATTAATCAAAGATACTGACACCTGGTTTATAGAAACTACTAACTAAAACATCTACTGTCACAGTACATGTGTACTGTCACAGGTTTTGTGAATGCTAATAAAGTTTTGTGTCCTTGATTGTATACTGAGTTGAATTTAGTTTGAAGAGACTGAATTGAACATGACAGCTGTGTGTGTGTGTGTGTGTGTGTGTGTGTGTGTGTGTGTGTGTGTGTGTGTGTGTGTGTGTGTGTGGTCAGATGTGTTTGGGCCTGTCGTTCTAATTAACACCAAATGCTGGACAGGTTTTCTGCTAATTAGCATCCACGGCTGGTTTGAACATGGAGCTAATTAACAGCTATTATGACTCTCTCTCTCTCACACACCCTGATTGCCTTTTTATAGCCGGAGACAAAATGTGTGATTTTGCATACTTTTGAAAAGTCATGGAATGTGTGTGTGTGTGTGTCAGATGGCATCACAGGCTGAAGAACAGAGTACCAGCTGTTAAACAACACACACACAGACAGTAGTGAACAGTCGGGGTCGAGGAGATTTAAAATACAGTGCAGATGTGTCCCAGCTGTTTTCAGATCAGGTGTTCTTTGTAGCTGCTGGTGTGAGAGACAGACTGCTTTATGAGAGAGAGAGGTAAACCAGCAGGGGTGGAGATATCCTGACTAAGTACAGAAACACTGGATCCTACATTTCCCATAATGCATCTGGACGTCACTGGAGTCCATCTGGTAACAGCCACGTCTTTCAAAGTCTACACAGACTGTGGCTGTGTCCGCCTACGTAGGGAGCTGTATGTAGAGGACTATACAGTGAGCTCACCTGCAAACAACACTGTCGGACTGTACTACGATCATTATTTCGGCGCCGTTAATTACATTATTGCCGTGGGATAATCACTTGGTGGACTGTTTTTTCTATCAGCGCAATGCATGATGGTATATAGGGCTGGTTAGTGACCATCGGTTGTACACTAAATGTAAACGCTCCGTATTTGTATCTGCCTTTCTAATCTTTGCGACCACTCAAACCGCTTCTCCACCTGGAGGAGCCGGGGATTGAACCGCCAACCTTCCAATTAATGGGCAACCTGCTCTTCCTCCTGAGCCGCCCTATTACCTTTCAAAAAAATCTGGGATACACTGAGTGGGCTACATAGGGTATAATAATTCTCATTATTCATTCAGACAGTACTACAAAATGGCGAGCTCACTGTCCATTATATAGTGAGCCTGAATGTTACACATGTGTAGTCTAATGACATCACTGTGATGTCATCAGGAGGTTGAGGAGGACCAACCAGGACCAGATGGTTAGTTGTTCTGATTGGCTGGCCGATGGTTGGTTGTTCTGATTGGCTGGCTGATGGTTGGTTGTTCTGATTGGCTGGCCGATGGTTAGTTGTTCCGATTGGCTGGCCGATGGTTAGTTGTTCCGATTGGCTGGCCGATGGTTAGTTGTTCCGATTGGCTGGCCGATGGTTAGTTGTTCTGATTGGCTGGCCGATGGTTAGTTGTTCCGATTGGCTGGCCGATGGTTAGTTGTTCCGATTGGCTGGCCGATGGTTAGTTGTTCCGATTGGCTGGCCGATGGTTAGTTGTTCCGATTGGCTGGCCGATGGTTAGTTGTTCCGATTGGCTGGCCGATGGTTAGTTGTTCTGATTGGCTGGCAGATAGTTGGTTGTTCTGATTGGCTGGCCGATGGTTAGTTGTTCTGATTGGCTGGCCGATGGTTAGTTGTTCCGATTGGCTGGCCGATGGTTAGTTGTTCCGATTAGCTGGCAGATAGTTGGTTGTTCTGATTGGCTGGCAGATAGTTGGTTGTTCTGATTGGCTGGCCGATGGCTGGTTGTTCTGATTGGCTGGCCGATGGTTGGTTGTTCTGATTGGCTGGCCGATGGTTGGTTGTTCTGATTGGCTGGCAGATAGTTGGTTGTTCTGATTGGCTGGCAGATAGTTGGTTGTTCTGATTAGCTGGCA